GTAAAAGTACAGAAGTATTCTCATCTTCATGCAGTAAAAGTACAGAATTATTCTCATCTTCAAGTCGTAAAAGTACAGAAGTATTCTCATCTTCAAGTAGTAAAAGTACAGAGGTATTCTCATCTTCATGTAGTAAAAGTACAGAAGTATTCTCAGCTTCAAGTAGTAAAAGTACAGAAGTATTCTCATCTTCATGTAGTAAAAGTACAGAAGTATTCTCATTTTCAAGTCGTAAAAGTACAGAAGTATTCTCATCTTCATGCAGTAAAAGTACAGAAGTATTCTCATCTTCATGCAGTAAAAGTACAGAAGTATTCTCATTTTCAAGTCGTAAAAGTACAGAAGTATTCTCATCTTCAAGTAGTAAAAGTACAGAAGTATTCTCATCTTCATGCAGTAAAAGTACAGAAGTATTCTCATTTTCAAGTCGTAAAAGTACAGAAGTATTCTCATCTTCATGCAGTAAAAGTACAGAAGTATTCTCATCTTCATGTAGTAAAAGTACAGAAGTATTCTCATCTTCAAGTCGTAAAAGTACAGAAGTATTCTCATCTTCAAGTAGTAAAAGTACAGAAGTATTCTCAGCTTCATGCAGTAAAAGTACAGAATTATTCTCATCTTCAAGTAGTAAAAGTACAGAAGTATTCTCATCTTCATGCAGTAAAAGTACAGAATTATTCTCATCTTCAAGTCGTAAAAGTACAGAAGTATTCTCATCTTCAAGTAGTAAAAGTACAGAGGTATTCTCATCTTCATGTAGTAAAAGTACAGAAGTATTCTCAGCTTCAAGTAGTAAAAGTACAGAAGTATTCTCAACTTCAAGTAGTAAAAGTACAGAAGTATTCTCATCTTCATGCAGTAAAAGTACAGAAGTATTCTCATTTTCAAGCAGTAAAAGTACAGAAGTATTCTCATTTTCAAGTCGTAAAAGTACAGAAGTATTCTCATTTTCAAGTCGTAAAAGTACAGAAGTATTCTCAGCTTCATGTAGTAAAAGTACAGAAGTATTCTCATCTTCAAGCAGTAAAAGTACAGAAGTATTCTCATTTTCAAGTCGTAAAAGTACAGAAGTATTCTCATCTTCAAGTCGTAAAAGTACAGAAGTATTCTCAGCTTCATGTAGTAAAAGTACAGAAGTATTCTCATCTTCATGTAGTAAAAGTACAGAAGTATTCTCATCTTCAAGTCGTAAAAGTACAGAAGTATTCTCATCTTCAAGCAGTAAAAGTACAGAAGTATTCTCATCTTCATGCAGTAAAAGTACAGAAGTATTCTCATCTTCATGCAGTAAAAGTACAGAAGTATTCTCATTTTCAAGTCGTAAAAGTACAGAAGTATTCTCAGCTTCATGCAGTAAAAGTACAGAAGTATTCTCATCTTCAAGTCGTAAAAGCACAGAAGTATTCTCATCTTCATGCAGTAAAAGTACAGAAGTATTCTCATCTTCAAGTCGTAAAAGTACAGAAGTATTCTCATCTTCATGCAGTAAAAGTACAGAAGTATTCTCATCTTCATGCAGTAAAAGTACAGAAGTATTCTCATCTTCATGTAGTAAAAGTACAGAAGTATTCTCATCTTCATGTAGTAAAAGTACAGAAGTATTCTCATCTTCATGTAGTAAAAGTACTGAAGTATTCTCATCTTCATGTAGTAAAAGTACAGAAGTATTCGCATC